CTGGGGTCCTTCCCCAGCTCCCAGTTTCAGTATGTCATGCAAGCAGGCAACCCTGCCTCCACCTCCTCCTCTTCACACATGTTTGCTGGCGGCCACATGCAGCAGAGCTCCTACAACGCCTTCTCCCTGCACAATCCCTACAACCTCTATGGATACAATTTCCCTGCTTCCCCCAGGCTGGCAGCGAGCCCGGAGAAACTCACCACCTCCCAAAGCACTTTACTCTGCTCTTCCCCATCCAGTGGGGCCTTCGGAGAGAGGCAATACCTTTCCACGGGGATGGATCACGGGATGCACATGATCAGCCCTCCCTCCGGCAACCAGCAGACGGCCAACGCCTGTGACAACAGACAGTACGGTGCGGTTCAGGGCTCCTCCTCACAGATGTCTGTGCACATGGTCTAACAAGCCACGCCTCTCCTTGGCATTGAAGGCAGCCAGACCTTCGTTGTTTCCAGGGGTAAACCCATCCCAGTGCCTTTTTGCCTTCAAACTTATAGTGGAACTAGTATTTTAATGATTTAGAACACAAGCCATGTAGGTATGCACCACAGAACCTTGTGGAAGGCCTCCACTGACAGCCGTTGCAGCTTGTTGTAGCCCAGGGCCTCCAGACCTGGCCCGGAGTGTCTGCTCATCCTGGACATTGCAGAGAGAAGGGCATGACTGTAATGAGAAGCTGGAGAGAAGCATCTGAGTATACCATTTGTGCCTTAACTCTCAGCTTGTTTGAGCTCTCAGCGTGGAGGGAACCGTGACCTTGTGCTGTCTCCTCCGGGTGTTAAAGAAAGGCAGTCTCCCAAGGCTTGGTCCTCTGAAGCTGCACTGCCCATAACTATAAAGACTTCCCCTTTCCCAGACCTTTCCTCACTGCTGGAGCAGCTCAGCCCGTTTCTGAAGCCAACAAGTTGCTCACGGCTCCTTCTCCCACCGTAGCACAGGAATGGTACTGCTGGGCTGGAGCTTCTCCTCCCAAAGGTGTTTCTGGATCTACCTGAGGAGCGGTTTCTTTGTGAGGGTTGAGCTTACCTGCACCCAGACTGCAGACAGAGATGGGAGAGAGAAAAGTTTTAACCTACAAGCAAGCCTCAGACATAAGCAGGGACTGATCTTCAGAAAGATGCATGGGGGAGAGGGAGCTCAGCTCCTGCTGATATGACCCACAGTGATGCACCCAAGCCGAAAGGACAACAGCCTTTGGGAGGAAGGTGTGTCCTCTAGCACTCAGCCCAGCAGGAAGAAACTGTCCAGACTGAGTGCGCGGGGAAGAGCAATGAGAAGGAGGGCTCTGCTCTACAGAAATGTAGCCAGCCTCCCTCACCTTGCATGCAAGAGTTGCCATAGAAAATCATTAGCGTTTTCATTAACAGTGAGGTCGAATATTCACCTCCTGCCTGCCACATGATCTCTGTTAACCAAATAGATCATTGCCTTTTGACATCTCTCTTTCCTGTTTGGCGCTTTTTTTTTCTCCCCCTCTCTTCTTTTGTTTTCTTCAAATCCTTTAAAAATATAAAACCAATTGTAGCTTGGTGCAAGCTATGCATTTAAGTTGTGTGAAAATGCAAATACCAAGTAACAGAACACAGATATTATTGAGATTTGTTGTGAGGTGTTGTAGATAAATGTATTTATATGCCTAGTGGAGGATTCATTATTATGAATATAAAAGAGGGCAATAAAAATGGTATGTAAAATATGTATGAAGAAAAAGGTGTATAAAGATTTGCCCTATGCACGGAACCCTGTTTCTAAGTGCCAAGCACAGAATGCGCTAAATAAATCTTTGCAATTGTTCCCTCTGTGTTTTTCTCTGTCTGTGAGGCTTTCTCAGTGGTCTTCTAGAGACAGACATTTTCAAAATACCACCACGTGTGTTTGCACAGCAGAGGAAATGAAGACACGGTGCTAAATTGTGAAGTCTAGGCAATAATACAATAAAAATAAAACCTCTGTCTTCTCAAGATATGTTAAAGATTGAATGCTTGGTGTCTATAAAGTACCTGCCTTCACAGGAAATCTGCCTTACGGACAGCTGAATTTGTTATTTTGAGCGTTAAAGCCTAACAAAAAGCTCTTCAGAACAATTTTTCACAGTCAATATAGTAAATAATATTTAGAAATAGCAGTAGAATTTGTTTCTCATTTTTAAATGTCATTTTGGGACATGTGTCATGTTTTCATTTGCAATACATTGCTGAGATTGAGATGGTAACACTGAAAGCAGTGGGGAAGCTGAAGCTCCGCCAAAGCTGGCTGTAAGTTATGGCTGCGGAGTTTACAGCTTTTTTTGTGTTAATAAAACTTTTTTTTCTCTGAATCAAATAAGCACCAGGAAGGTAGAAAGACCTTAAAAGATAAGTTCTGCAAGCATTTCTTAATTTATGTTTTTACAGGGGAAGATAAGCATACCAATACCGTTCCCAGTTCTATGCCTAGTCTGTCCGACTGTATTCTAGCTCCTACAGTGTCAGGAAAACGATTGGGATGACTACGGATGGGAGAAAATCTATCCCTCCCCTTGTTGTCTTCTGTTTACCCCTAATAATTAAGTCTTGGTTTAATCCTGAAACAGGGAGTTTTATAGCCTTTCTGAAGTCCTTTCAGAAATACCCTTCAGTCTGGGCTTTGAGGTTTGCTGTGCTTTTGGGTTTGACTCCATCCTATGGCAATGATTTGTACAAATTAATAGTGTGTTGTGTGAACCATATTTCCTTCTGCTGGCTATTAGACTGTTCTTTCTTATTTATTCCATTTAGTTCTTTGTGAGTGAATCTGTATTTCATCGAAGAAGAGAATATGATTCTACAAAATCAAAATAATTCTCAGTGTCCAAATACGTGTTTCTAATCTTGATTAAAATGAAAAATTAATTTAATCAAAATTTTTCACTGGAAACACTTGCTGAAGAAACAAAAGACAGATGTATGGCTCGACCTTCAATATTAGTGTGAAGAACTGTAATCCCAGTTTCCATGCATTTTAGTAGGAAACTACAAGGAAAAGCTTTGAAATTGTCACCCAGACTCTTCAGTAAAATGATCCTTCAAGGTATTGTGCATCCTGTCCCTGATCCAAATGAGCTCTTCAGCATACTGAGATAATGTTACTCCATCCAAGTATGACTATAATGACCTCAGGGTAATACTGACCATATTTATTGACTATATTTATAGACATATTTTTTAGCTCTTATTGGTACATGTACAAAATGAGAGAGCTTCGTTAACTAGATAGTTGTTCTTTCATCTTAGCAAATGTTTAAGTTTTGTTGATTCAGGATCAGAATATTCAGCATCAAGACTGAAAAAGAACAGGAAAAAGAACTGAAAGAGGCTTTCCTGTCCCAAGATGTGAAGTTGAAGGAACACAAACATGATTTGGTGTGAAAGTTATACTCACAGTCTGTATAGGATTAAAAGCAAGCTAACATTGAAATGGGGAAAAAAATATTAAGCTTTTTCCTTGTTTGTCACTGTGCAATGCAAAAGTAGAGTGGTGTTTGGAGGGCAGTATCAAAAATAACAGACTAAAGCATATTAAAAGGATTAGTGTTCAGTTAGGTGCACAGGTGCAGTCCGTCCAGGATAACCCTGGGCAGACAGACTGCTTAAGGCCTTGACACTCCCTCAGAAACATGAGGAGAGCATTGAATTTGAAGAGGACCTAGGTATGACAGAGGTGTCTTGTGTACAGCAGTGGCTCTTTTCCCCCTGCCACCCCTGCAGGGATACAAGGCTCTGAGCTGTTTGTCACTTTTTACTGAGGCTTCCCAGGGAAGAGGCGATGGTGATGGGCAATGGGAGAGATGCACCAGCGCCAGCCTGAGCGATCTGCTTGGAACCAGCTTGCCTGGTGGGTAGCCAGTGTTGCAGGACACCCTCCCTCCCTTCCTTCCTCCTTTCCTTCCTTCCTTCCTCCTTTCCTTCCTCCCTTCCTCTCTTCCTCCCTCTCTCCCTTCCTTCTGCCCACCCGCCTGCCTGCCCTCCCGCCCTCCTTCCTTCCTTCCTGAAGGACAGAGCCTTATTCATTTCCTCAGTGCAGGGAAGGCCACTGTATGACATCCCATTCAAAGAAGCCACACAAGGAACAAGTATCCAGCATGCACTCTCTCCCCAGCCACGTTTCACTTGGCATATGCATGTTATTAGACATCAGAGCATCTACCAAGAGCTGCAGAATCCAGGGCGTCTTTACTCCGCCACTCCTGGGCTGACCCATTTGCTCTTAGTCCATGCAGGCTTCTGTATTCCAGCCCGAGAGAAGTGAAAGCTCTACATCTCCCAGTTAGATGCTGCAAATTTAAAAGGTGAAACATCACGTACCTCTTTGAAGGAGTACCCTTTTTTAAAACCCTGATCCAAATGCCAGCAAGAGTAGTGGAAATCTTGATGGTAGGAGATCACTCATCTTGCAGCACAGGCTGTTCCAAATGCCGACCTCGCAACTTGTTACACGAATGAAAAGGATGGGGCAAAAATAATCAGAGAGGGTTTGTCAGCTTTGCAAAGTTTATTTAGCTCCATTCCTTAACCCACTGACAGGCACAGGACGTAAGTATTTCCGTGACCACAGTCACTGCAGCTCAGCAAGACCAGGACGTCGCACTCCGCTGCGACATAGTGTTCTTGGAGGGAATGTTAAGTACCATGTGCTAAAGCAAAATGCTCAGGGCACAAAGATAAATATAAATTAGGTACACAGCCTGTGACATTATGTAAAATATAATACAGCAAAAATTACAGCAGATGATCTGCTGGTGTGGCTGATTTATTGCAAATTGGATGAAGCTTGACTGATGTAGCTGAGGGCTGACAGTCATTTGCCATTTAAAATGAAGTGTTCAGGTGTCTTTTTTATTCCAGCACAACTAGGCGCATTGACCCAGAGCACACAGCTCACGTTAGACTAGCACTAGCAGATGACTTTTGCTGGATGTTCCTTGTTTGGCATCGTTCTAAACAAAACAACAACATGAAAGTGTACCCACGTACTGGGCAGAGGAACGCCTGAGCATGCCAATTACATGCTACAGATACACTAGAAATGCAGCTATAAAAGCAGTGACAGAACTTTGTGAGGAGGGTGCTGGTGTGGCCAAGGGGTAATTTGCTATAAATAAGCCAGTTCCCATCCAAGGAACATGTGACTCCTTCAGCACTTCTTCCTTAGAGAACCAGCCTCCAGGATGAGTTTTTGCCAGGTCTGTAACCCAGCATTTTGAGTCCACTGATGGGACCCTTTCTGAGAGCTGGCCTGTTGGTCTGCTGGGAGGGGTTTGTGTAACCTGCTGATCACCCACAGAGCTTCTTCCAGAAAAGCGTCTCAGTTTTCTGACTGCTCCTTCTAATTTGCCTGTAATTGCTATCTAGGAATCTGTATAGCATACAGCTAAAATTCCTGGAACCCTTTTCAAGGGTTGTTTTTCCATGTCAG